TATATATATATATATATACATATATATATTCCTTACTGCACCAATGTTTGAGGAGACTGGCGAGGTTGATGGGTAGCTGTGTGGCGTTGTGTAGATTTATGGGGCTGCCGGGGCATGCAAAAGAAGAGAAACAAACATCAAGACAAAGACCTTCTTGGGAGAAGTTTAGAGAGGAGACAGGGAGACACCATACACTCCGAGTGTCTCCGTCGTATCTTGCTGCTGCTGCTGCAGAAGGAGACAGCAGCAAACGACACTGCTCATCCAGCTGCTGCTGCAGCAGAGAACGAGTCACCGGGATCTCAAACTCCTCTTCTGCTGCTGCTGCTGCTGCTGCTCCTGCTGCTCCTGCTGCTGCTGCTTCTGTTCCTGCTGCTGCTGCTGCTTCTGTTCCTCCTGCTGCTGCTGCTTCTGTTCCTGCTGCTGCTGCTGCTGCTGCTGTTGCTGTTGCTGCTGATGCTGAAGCAGAAAGACTGCCGCTGTCAGATTGCTCTGCATGCGTATATATACACACAACACAAACCCTAAACCCTAAACCCTAAACCCTAAACCCTAAACCCTACAGTATAAACCTCAAACCAACGCCTCCTACACCCAAACCCTAAACCCTAAACCCTAAACCCTAGACCCTAGCCCGTAACCCTTGAACCCTCTCTCACCCCCCCAAACAAACCCAAAACCCTAAACCCTAAACCCTAAACCCTAAACCCTTACGAAGATAGCTGTAAGCCATAGATTCCATCCACTTCCAGTTGCTGTGTTCATCGGGGTGTACGTTGAGGTCAAACCCCCCCGCTTTATATATATCAGCAAGCAGCCGCTGCTGCCCGCTGCGGTGTATATGCAGCTTTATGTTGCTATCCTCATACAAAGGATAAGTATAAAAAGCATCTCTCACAGCCCTCACAAACTCTTGCGTTTGGATTCGAGAGGGGCCCCCATTGGGGGGCCCCCCAGAGGGGGGGCCCCCAACAGGGGGGCCCCCAGCAGGGGGGCCCCCAGTTGAATCCAAAAAAGATAGTTTAGGGGGGCGGTGTCCACCATCCAGAAACGCTTGGGGGCCCCGCGGCATAGATAAAAAAGAAACCCCATCTTCAGGGGCCCCCTCAACACCCTCCTTGGGGGGGCCCCCAGAGGGGGCCCCCCCTACAGAGGCCCCCTGGGGGGCCCCTCGAGAACCCCCCTGAGAGGATCTCTGAGGGGCCCCCTCAAGGGGGCCCCCAGGGGCCCCTGTAGGATGTTGGGTTATATAATCTTTGGAGATATCTGCTGGGGCTTGGCATGTGGTTGGGTTTGTACGGGGTGTACGTACACCTGAATTGTGGTGGGGTTGAGAAGGGTCTGCGACAGGGAGAAGGCTGGGGGGGAGCTGCAGCAGCACGTGAGAAAGGCTGCGGCTTCTGCCTGGCTCCGCAGCAGCAGCAGCAGCAGCAGCAACAGCAGCAGCAGCAGGAGCAGCAGCAGCAGCAGGAATAAGAGCAGCAGCAGCAGAAAAAGGACAGAAAGAAGAAAACCAGCTGCATATACACCCCAGCTCCTCACGACTGAGGCGGTGGCAGCATTGACAATACCACTACTCCGATAAGGGTTTAGGGTTTAGGGTTTAGGGTTTAGGGTTTTCTAGGGTTTAGGGTTTTTTAGGGTTTAGGGTTTGTTAGTTTCTGACTGGTTGTATCGTGAGGGAGAAAGGAGACACTTGCTGCTTCTTCAGTTCCTGTCGATGGAGTTGTGTTGTTTATAAAAACCTGAAAAGGAGACAGTTTTTTGTTTTTGTTTTGTGTGTGTTTGGGGTGTATGTACACCCCGTCCCCCCGCTAGCACAGTACCTTCTCTATGTGTTGCTGCAGTTGCTGCTGCTGCTGCTGCTGCTGCTGCTGCTGCTGCAGCAGCAAGACTCACCAAGCAGTTCATCAAGAGCAGCAACAACAGCAGCAGCATCTTTTGCTGATGCAGCTGCTGCAGCAGCAGCAACAGCATCGTTGCTGCTGCTGCTGCTGCTGCTGCTGCTGCTGCGGTCTCCGCTGTCTGGGGGCAGCTATACACCCGTCCCCGCCTCAGCTGCCATTGGGGTGTATACGCATAACGAAAATAAATAAAAATAAATACATTTATATATTATATAGAAGAAAAAAAAACTAAAAACACTGCAGCAGCAGCAGCAGCAGCAGCAGAAACTGC